TGTACTATAATCCATAATGAGTCATAGTCTCGGACTGTCCAATGTGGAAATTTGTACAAAGATGTGAAAGAGTTGGGAAAGCGGTCATTAGACTTTCAATGATGGTTTGATCTTCACCTTTCATTAGTAATTTAATTGTCACTGGTTGTTCTTGCCATGGAAAACATGTTTCTGGAAACAACTCTGTAGCTTTCTTTAGATGATCCTCAAGAAATCCGCATGCAGTTTGGTTTAAGGATTTGCGTAGCCATTTTGAATGTAAATTTAAAAGAGGATAGGGCCATTCAAAGACTATAGGATTATCTTTATAAAATTCCAAAAAACTATTGCTAAGTATTGAAAATATGTACTCGAAGTTTGGTGACTTGATTTTCAACTCCAGGTCAATTGCTTTATCATTTCTAGTTTATCCAGCTTGATTATATTGCATAATTTACTAGGAGTACATTCTTTGGTAAATGTCTTCCAAAATTCAATCAGACAAGATTCATAGTCTGGTTTCCTAAGAATTAATTGTAAGTCGCGGGTTGGAGCCACTATTTCCGGTTTTAAAAGTTCTTTAAGCTCAGTGAATAAATCTTTATTGGTCTTTTCAGGGATCAATCCAGTTTTCAAGGCAAGTAGGAAACGTTCCGAGTAGTTGAGAGCTAGTCTAGACAATGATAAGTCAATCATTGCTATCAGCAGTGGTTTCAAGGAATGCTTGAAAAAGATTGTTTCAAATGTTGTCCAAATTGTGAATAGCCTATTGCGGGGTAGAAGACCAAAACCTTTTGCACCTACCCAGAGATAGGCTCTGTTTAAAACATCTATATTAAAGTCCCAGTCAGATATTATTGAAAGAAAGTAGTTCAATGAGCTCACCATCATTATCATTCCCTGACTGGCTCCCATCAGCATCTCCTTTACCAATCACAAATGCTGCAACCGGGCTTGTTAACTGTTGAAGATTTTTATTGTATGATATCATATTATGTTAATATTATCTTTTCTGAAGTGAAGAATAGATGAAGCTTTACCTTTGGATCTTTCATATCACCCCCAATTATTTGAAAAGATTCTACCAAGTCTAAGCATAATTGAATCAACATAATGTTCAAATGATCTGTTGTATTGCCTTTGCCAGCCAAATACTTGATAAGCCATTCAATTTCCTTCTGTAGGATAGAGCTAGATGGTGGGCTTAAATAACAATATACATCTACATCTAAATGCCTTTTGCCAATTATTTTTGGCTTATGATTCTTCACTTCCTGTAAAGCTATGAAAATGTGATGAACTGCTGAAGCAAGGGATTGAAGAAACTCTAGATCATCATCATCATGACCATCACCTTCCTGAGGCAAAGTTCTGATTTCAACTGAGGGGTTTTGATTTTTGGTGGGGAGGGTGTAAGGGTGGAAGTAGAATATTACATTATGGGTTACAAGTTAGGGTATGGGTTTAGATAGAGGGTTTCAAGTAGATAGATTTGGTTCTTCCCCCCTTACCGTTTTCCTTTTTTCCTTCGTGGTTTCTCTCATCTTTTATTATCTCTATTTGTTCTACTGGTTTCTGATTCTCTCAAGTGCTGGACTAGGTATGGGTGGTTTCTCTCATCTTTTATTATCTCTATTTGTTCTACTGGTTTCTGATTCTCTCAAGTGCTGGACTAGAATTGATACAAGGGGTTTAGATAAACCCTCGCTCTTTCGAGAGCTGTGCCAAACTTCGACTCAGTGAAGGTGGAGATATCACTCCACCTTACACTTTTTTTATCACCCCTTACGATCGATTCAACTACGATTTTCGAATTCAACTTCAGTTTTGTGCACTCGACGGATCGTCGTCGTTTTAAGTTCAATAAGTCTAGTCTTACATTTGAAGTGGACTGCAGCGCCACCGAAAAAAAAAAAAACCAGTATACATTCAGTTTATATAATTCAATAGAGATACAGCCACCATTTGATGTCAGATCAACCGCGTCATACAAGAAATAATCCAGTTTCTGATCTAGTTAGATTGTCCGATCCAGAAGGTTTACTCCGCAATCCTCGTATATCACGTTCAGTTACCCCGGTCGTCGTTTCGGAAGAGGCGTCGACGTCATTATTCCATCGGGAGCTTGACTCCTTCTTGAATCCTCCCACGCGTACCGGCATCAGGACATTACAACCTTCGCCGGCAGTGTGGTCACCTATCGCACGACAGTTGACTCCAAATTTTAGTTCAGAATTAAGTGCTCCTCCGTCAGAATATTCGGTCAATCTAGATCAATTATCAGTACTTTCACCTACTCGACCTCACGCAAACTTGCCTCGACCTCCTAGACGAAGCTTACCGGGGGCCTTTGATCCTAATCTTACAATTGGTGGTTCGGACAGTGAACTTACCATGAACGGGCCGCCACCGACAAATCTTATGGATTCTACGAGTGGACCACACTCACCACAAGATCAGCAGACATTTATGCCGGGCGCCGAGAACTCAGCGGTCTCACAAAGCCAGTTTCAGGCTGAGACCGCAGCGATGAGAGCGGAGATAGTCACGTTGCAAAATCTGGTCCGTCAGTTAGTACTTAGCAAACAGTCTGATCAAGCACCGGCGAATACTGGGCAACAAGGATCTCATCAAGGTCATAATGCCTCTTCGGAAAGTCAAGATGGTACTATACTCCAGCCGCACTTCACGTCGACTCCTTTAGATAGGAACCCTTTCCGTGTACCTACTCTTCAATCAGTTACTCATATTTCTTCGAATCAAGCTCACCCTGAAATTCACCAACAACCTGCTAGTGCGATCGACCCTATTCGATTTCGCGTGTCTGATTTCCCGGAATACAAAGGTCGATACGGGGATGTCTCAGCGTACCGTATCTGGCGACACAAGGTGGAACGTCTTTTCATCGTCAAAGGGGTAATGTTGGATAGTGACCGTTTTAATATCTTGCCTTTATTGTTGGGTAATGATCCTGCGGCGTCTTGGTGTCGACGAGCGGGGGAATTTGTGGGCCATTCGTGGGCATCTGCTATGAAGGAGTTAGAGACCGTCATTCTACCGGTGGATTGGCTGGACAAGATTAAACAACAGATCCGAGAATTATCAATGAAGCCTAATGAGTCGATGAGCGCGTTTTGTGCTAGGGCTCGGGTCTTACAAGAAGCGGCAGGGTCCGATGAATGTTCTGAGGAAAGTCTTGCATGGGCTATTGTGGGGGGATCTACCTCATTATTCCGATCGATCCAACAACGCGATCAACTTGTCAAGACCAGTATCAATCCGGTTTCGCAACAGTTCTCTTTTGCAATTTTTGAGCAACGCGCATGTTCTACCTGGGATTTTGTTATGGAGATAGAAGCAAAGACTCGTGCCGGATCAAAAACTCAGAATTCGAACACTAATCCGTTCACTAATACGACCTCTGCGCCTGCTCAACGGACATCAAATCGACAACCTTTGACGCCGGAAGAGACGGCTGCACGAAACGCACGTTTTTTCGCTTATATGCGTTCCGTTGGTCTGTGTCCTCGATGCAAGACTTCGTGCAAGGACTGGCAAGGAAATTGCACAGCCCCATTTAATCAAGCTTATGTTCAGATCCCGAACGAGTTTCCTCGACAACCACCGTACCCGCCTCCTAAAGCTAGTAATACTCAACCTAGAAGAAATGCTATGGTAGAATCAAGGCCAGCGGCTCGGCGGATTGATGTAGCGGCTGTCGACAACGATCAAGTAGTTGATGTGGCGGCGTTGGGAGAGTTCCCGGATTTGGGTCGTGAGGATCTTCGGGCTTATGAGCAATTGCTTGAACGTTTAGCGGGACCGGAGGAGGAGGATTTGGTTGACGCCGCTGAGTGCGTACAGCCTGTTGCCCTTAATTCCTCAATTTCATCTCAATCAGCAACCACACCACTAATATTTGATATTGTGATCAATGGGTTTGCCATGCGCGCATTGGCTGATACTGGTGCAGGTACCAACTTGATGTCGGAGAAAGCGGCGAATAAATTGAAGACGGTTCGACGGCCTTTACCAGTGCCAGTAACTGTTCGTCCTGCTATTGCATCAGAACCTGATCCTTTTATTTTAAAGGAATTCACGTTTGCTAATGTGAAATTTATGGATCCGGTTTTAACCTTTGGGACGACGCCTTTCAAATTGGCACCGTTGGGGGGTTCGTACGACGTTATTCTAGGCACCCCATTTTTGGCGAAGCATCACCTAGATGTCTCGATCAGTCGACAACTTTTACGACATACAAAGAATGGTTATGAGTTCAAAGTAGTGGGGAAGAAAGAGGAAGAAATGAATGAAAAGGTTTTAGAAAAGCGTAGAGAAGCGTTGTTAGCCGCTGTGTTTGAAAATTTGTCTAAAGTGGAGGAGGTTCAGGATTTTTCTATTCGTGAAATGAAGATGTTACAAGAATTTGCAGATGTTTTCCCGGAAGACTTACCGGATGTTGAGCCAAGTGAGAATGTGGATGAGGATGTGGAGTTTTTTCCCTCAAAGCTGCAAGATAAAGCTGATACCACGCGTCATCGTATAATTTTGACGGATCCTGACGTTGTCATCAATGAACGGCAGTACGGTTATCCACGGAAGCATTTGGATGCTTGGCAAAAATTAATTGAACAACATGTCAAGGCAGGCCGCCTGCGCAAGTCAAAGAGCCAATATGCATCTCCCTCCATGATCATACCAAAAAAAGGATCCAAAAGCGCTTCCGAGGCTTATTTGTGATTATCGAAGACTTAATAAATTCACCGTTAAGGACCGCAGTCCACTTCCAAACGTGGACGAAGCAGTGCGTATTGTGGCACAAGGAAAGATTTATTCCTCTTTAGATCAGATAAACGCCTTCTTCCAGACACTTATGTGGGAGAAAGACATTCCTTTGACTGCAATAAAAACACCTTGGGGCCTGTACGAGTGGGTGGTGATGCCCATGGGGTTAACTAACGCGCCTGCAACCCAGCAACGACGGTGTGAGGAGGCTTTAGGAGATCTTGTTAATAAAGTGTGTGTTGTGTACATTGATGACATCGTGGTTTTCTCTGCAACGGTGGAAGAGCATGAGGAACATCTGCGTGAAGTGCTTCGTCGATTGCGGGCAGCTAATTTGTATTGTGGAGTAAAGAAGACAAAATTGTTTCGCCGTAGAATTCAATTTTTGGGTCATGAGATTGGGGAGGACGGTATCAGGGCTGATGATGAGAAAGTAGTCAAAGTAACAAACTGGAAAAGTCCGAAATCACCGAAACAAGTCAAAGAATTCTTGGGTACCGTGCAGTGGATGAAAAAGTTTGTAGATGGGTTGGAGAAGTATGCAGGACAACTTACACCGTTGACGAGCAGCAAGAGGGCGGATTCATTTGTATGGACAGAAAAGGAAGAGGCAGCTTTTCAGAATATCAAAAGAATGATAACGACACTCCCAGTTTTACGCAACATTGACTATGACACGAATGAACCGGTTTGGCTATTTACAGACGCCAGTGGGTACGGCCTGGGTGCAGCTCTGTTCCAAGGAGCGGATTGGGAGACAGCAAGTCCAGTAGCATATGATGGTCGTCAAATGACTCCGGCGGAGCGTAACTATCCCGTCCACGAGCAGGAATTGTTAGCTGTTATTAACGCTTTACATAAGTGGAGATTATTGTTGTTGGGTTTAAAAGTTCATGTCATGACGGACCATCATTCTCTTACTCATCTGTTATCTCAAAGAAATTTAAGTAGACGTCAAGCGCGCTGGCTCGAAACGTTGTCTGAGTTTGATCTGGAGTTCAAATATGTTCAGGGAGCTGACAATTCTGTCGCGGATGCTTTATCACGGGTTGAATCGGCAGCAATCACAATGTCGGTGGCTCACATGGATGAATCAATTTTGACTCAGGTGAAGAAAGGTTACGAAGAGGACGCGTTTTGTGTGAAGCTGGAAAAAGTGCTTCCTTTACGAGATAATTGTGCTTGGCGTGACGGTTTGATGTTCATCGACAACCGTTTGGTGGTACCGGCGACGGGTGCACTTAGGAGTACGTTGATTGGATCAGCTCATGAAGCAGTAGGCCATCTGGGAAGTTTGAAGACGGCGTTGAGATTGAAGGAGGAGTTCTTTTGGCCAGGGTTATCGGGTGATGTAGATCGTTTTGTGTTGTCTTGTGATGGTTGTCAACGTCATAAGGCTCGAACCACCAAGACCTTAGGACGATTGCAGAGTACTGATTTGCCTCGTCGACCGATGAGTAGTATTGCATTGGATTTTGTGGGTCCGTTTCCAAAAGTGTCGGGGTATGATATGGTTTTATCATGTACATGTCGGTTATCTGGGTTTGTTCGTCTTATGCCGACCAACCAAAAAGACACGGCCGAGCGCACAGCTCAACGACTCTTCAAATCTTGGTTATCAATTTTCGGTGCACCAGATGAAATGGTGGGTGACCGAGACAAGATTTGGCAATCTCGGTTCTGGCGGGAGCTTCATCATCTTATGGGGATTTCGGTCAACTTGACGACGGCATACCATCCTCAAGCCGATGGCCGAGCTGAACGCACGAACAAAACTTTCGCACAGCTTTTGCGTTTCTCAACACAGAAAAAGCAAGGAAAGTGGTTGGACGCGTTACCTATGGCTGAGTATGCTATTAACTCCGCAGTGAATGTATCGACAAAGATTTCACCGATGAAGTTTGTTCTAGGAGTACAGCCGAGATTGTTCCCAATCTCATCGCAAGGGATGGAGGTAGGGGAGGATGTTGAAAAATGGTTAGATGAAAGGAAGGCAGAGTGGACGGTGTGGAGAGATAGGTTGTGGGCGTCGAGAGTGGAGCAGGCATTACATTATAACAAGAGACGAGGTGGAGAGCTTGGAGCAGAAGTCGGTGATTTGGTTCTGATAGAGAGTAGTAATAGGTCTCAGGTGGTAGGTGGGAAGGTTGAGAAACTTAGGGCGCGGTACGATGGGCCGTATAAGGTGACTCGTGTTTTAAACGACGGGCGTGACTTTGAGCTACAACTGGGGGACGGCGACTCAACTCACAATGTTTTCCACGCGTCAAAGCTCAAGCTGTATCGAATGGCGGAGGAAGTGTTGGAGTGATGGGGTTTGGCGAGGAGCTACTCTGTGCAAGTAAGTCTCCTCCTTGTCGTATGCACCGACCGTGGGGTTCTACCTCCCTTGTTTTTCAATCAAACATTACCTCGGCCACATGTGTGAGCACCACCTTCGTGTTTGGGTTTTTCAGGCTGTGGACGGTCGTTACGAATTCATCGAAAATGGTACCTGGTTCGGCAGCTGTTGTGTTGTGGTTTTCTCCTTTTTTCTTTTTTCTTTTTCTTTTCTGTTTCTTTTCTTTTACTTTATTTCTTTTCATATTTGATTAGTACAATTTTAAATATCTAGTGTTGGTTGTGAGTGGGATAAATGGGGAAGTTTGGAGGTTCTACGGAGGGGTTTTGATTTTTGGTGGGGAGGGTGTAAGGGTGGAAGTAGAATATTACATTATGGGTTACAAGTTAGGGTATGGGTTTAGATAGAGGGTTTCAAGTAGATAGATTTGGTTCTTCCCCCCTTACCGTTTTCCTTTTTTCCTTCGTGGTTTCTCTCATCTTTTATTATCTCTATTTGTTCTACTGGTTTCTGATTCTCTCAAGTGCTGGACTAGGTATGGGTGGTTTCTCTCATCTTTTATTATCTCTATTTGTTCTACTGGTTTCTGATTCTCTCAAGTGCTGGACTAGAATTGATACAAGGGGTTTAGATAAACCCTCGCTCTTTCGAGAGCTGTGCCAAACTTCGACTCAGTGAAGGTGGAGATATCACTCCACCTTACAGATTGATAAAGGGATATATTCTTTGAGAGAATGATAGCTCACCATCTTTGACTCCCTCCTTCCATACCTGGAGTTCATTCTCCCTTGAAATTGCTAGGTGTTTTATTATCATAGTGGATGTCTGAGTTATGAGCCACTAGTTTAGAAGGTATTATTCTGAAATGACTTAAAAATTGAGCTGAAAGGAGAGTCCTTCATGAATTAGAGATTGAAATGATGATGTGAGCTTCAGGCTTCATGAGTTCATTCAGGTAAATGTATTGATTATTGAAAGATTAGGTTCTAATGTAAGATAAGCTGATGAATCAATATTGAACAGGTTGAGATAAATTTTGGTTTTCTAGTAATTCATTTGATTTAATTTAACTTTGATTTAATTCATTCATTATAGGTAAAGCTTGAAGATAAGAAATAAAGATCTATAATGAATATTCGATGAATCGATTGAAGGAGTCTAATTGATTCCTACTGGAATTTCATTTTATATATTTGAAGTTGTTCTTGAATTGAAGTATAGTCATAAACTTCTGAAACCCATAGCATATATGATGAATTTATTGATATGTAATGAATTCAAAGCCGTGATACTAATAGATAATAAGAGATTTGGATTTCACGGCTTTGAATATATATTTCAATTCACGGCTGTAAATATATACCTTTTCTTTTAATTTCAATTGATGGCTTTAAATATATATATTTTGTTTTAATTTGAATTCATGGCTTTGAATATACCTTTTATTTTAATTTAAATAAAAGGCTTTGAATATAACTTTTCTACGGAAGGCAAGAGGTGTCAAGGTGACAATGCAAAAATCAAACAACGAGAATCACAATTCCCGGGTGCAAAATTCAAAAATCAAAGACAAAACTACAGAAAATACTCAAATACAGGGCAAAAACCCCTGTACTGGAGCAAAAATCGTGGCAGAAACCCCTTTCAGACCAGGTTACGGCCCAAATTTCAGTAGATTTACAACTTGAACCTCCACATCTGTCACCCCATTGTCGCATTGACACAAAAAGTACCAGGAAAGCCACATAAGAGGAAATCAGAATTCAAAAAACAAAAAAACAAAAGTCAAAAATCAAAAAACCAATGTCAATAATCAAAAAACGACAATTAACAAACCATAAACAAAGACCCCAAATACAAAGACTGCACATGAGAGTGATGAAAATTGTACAAACCACCTCTCTATCTCTCTACCTCTCAACCAATCACACAACCCATACACAACACACCAGCACTGATCATCTTATATTGGCCAGTCATACATCCACATTCATCCATCTTTTGTCATAGTCTCCACTCATCCACCTTGTTCAACAAAACCTACACTACACTGAACTTCTTTGATTGTCTTCACTCTTCTTCATCCTTCTTTGATTGTCTTCACTCTTCTTCATCCTTCTTTGATTGTCTTCACCCTTCTTCAATCTTCTTGGATTGGCTTCAATCCTCTGTAATCTTCTTTTATCAGCTTCAATCTTCTTTATATTCCTGTGCACCCATGCACCTATGCCCTTATGTACCTGCACCCAGGCACCTATGCACCAATGACTCCCTGCACCAATGACTCCCTGCACCCCTGCACCCCTGGCATGCACCATGCACAGGTGCATGCACTTTACCCCCAGCCCTATGGGCCCCCCTTGTAACCCAAGCCAAATAGTAAAATTAAATTTGTATAGTGTTCAGATTATGTATTCCATAGTTATATAAGTTGTCTAAAAAATGTTCACCATTTATGCCTGTATAGTTATAGAATCTCTCCTATTTGTACAGTTGGGCTGGTGCGTCAGCCGCAAAAACCAACTACAGAACTCCATTTCATCTCAGTCTCACTTGTTTTGAGATGGGTTTTTTCCTCAAGTCATGCTTGATTAGGGTATGCTAATCAAGCACGCCTTTGTGGCCGTTTAACAGGACCATGATACAGAAGTATCCAGATCCAAGATCCATTCCAAGAAAAAAAAAGAAAAAAAAGGGAAGACAAAAAGAAGAAAAAAAAAGAAAAAAAAGAAAAAAAAGAAAAAAAAGATAAAAAAGATAAAAAAGAAAAAAAGAAAAAAAAGAAAAAAAGAAAAAAAAGGAAAAAAAAAAGGAAAAAAAAGGGGAAAAAAAAGAAAAGAAAAAGCAAAAAAAAAGAAAACAAAGAAAAGAAGAAAAAAAGAAAACAAAGAAAAGAAGAAAAAAGAATAAAAAAAAGGAAAAAAGAAAACAAAGAAAACAAAGAAAAAGAAGAAAAAAGAGTAATCATATTATTTCAAAATACATATCAATACCTTTTGTGCAATATCTTACTTGAATAAAGCCCATGTAATGAACTATCTTGTGTACCTTCTATTCCTCTTCTACATAATCCTGTATCAGCCAATCAAAGAAGATTACAGAAGATTGAAGCTGATGGAAGAACACTAAGGAACAAAGAAGCTGATCCAAGAATATCGAAGAAGGGTGAAGCCAATCCAAGAATATCAAAGAAGATTGAAGACAATCGAAGAAGGATGAATAAGAGCAAAGACAGTCAAAGAAGGATGAAGAAGAGTGAAGATGATCAAAGAAGGATGAAGAAGAGTGAAGACAATCGAAGAAGTTCGGTGTAGTGTAGGTTTTGTTGAACAAGTGGATGGGTAGAGACTATGACAAAAGTTGGAAGAATGACTAAGATGATTGGTGATGGTGTGTGGTGTATGGGTTGTGTGATTGGTTGAGAGGTAGAGAGGTGGTTTGTACAATTCTCATCATCTAATGTGCAGTTTTTGTATTTGGGGTCTTTGTTTATAGTTTGTTGATTGTCTTTTTTTGATTATCGACATTTGTTTTTTGATTTTTGACTTGTTTTTGTGATTTTTGATTTTTGATTTTTGATTTCCTCTTTTGTGGTTTTCCCGGGACTTTTTGTGTGAATGCGACAATGGGGTGACAAATGTTGAATTTCAAGTTGTAAATCTACTGAAATTTGGACCGTAACCTGGTCTGAAAGGGGTTTTTGCCATGATTTTTACTCCAGTACAGGGGTTTTCGCCCTGTATTTGAGTATTTTCTGTAGTTTTATCTTCAGTATTTGAATTTTGCACCCGGGTATTGTGATTTTGGTTTTTTGATTTTTGCACTGTCACCTTGACACCTCTCGCATTCCGTAAGTGCACTAAGATTGATTTCTGTTTTGGCTTCAGTCCAACAGGTTATGAGCACCTAATCTTGAATTTTTTTTACTCTATTGAAATATTCTTTCATTTCAAACCTTTGTATGGCATCACCGTTGGTTCTGTCATCCTCAAATCCGAATCCGAATAACCCTAACCCTGAGTTTTTGACTCCTCCTACCAACATTGAGGACCCCTTCTGTGTTGGCTCTTGATAGGGTCCTTTAGCTTTGCATACATTGGCTGTCGTGGGTCTAACTCTTTTATACTATACATGCCCATGCCCTCATGCACCCGTGCACCTATGACCCCATGCCCCATTCCCCATTCCCCATGCCCCATGCCCCTATGCACCCATGCACCCATGCACCTATAACCCCAGCACCCCAGCACCTGCATGCATACATGCACATCCATGTGCATGCACAGCCGGGCATGCCCCTAAGTGCATGCAACAAGGTGCACAGTGCATGCACTTTCAACCCGGATCCTGGGGCTACCTTGTAACCCTAACCCAGAAAAGAGTGGGGGAGATAAGCGAGATGGGATAGAAGGAGGGGGAATGGATGTGGTGTCTGATTGGGAAACTTGACCAATAGTATCATCTTCAAGAGTTAAATCAATCTCCAGTTGGTTTGTTGCAGTATTCTGTACATGTTCATTCTGATCAATATCCATAGCTGAATATGCATGACTTTCAACAAGATCATGATCAGTATAAAAGTTCATTGAATCATTTGGATTATCTAATTCATGTTGTGTGGGAGTTTCAAAATTAATGATATCTTCACATTGTAATTCTCGATCAGATTGTGATTGATATTGATCAACTTCTAATTGATGTGGATACTTGGCCTTCTGATCTTGAAAGTATTTAAAGAGACGCCCTACTGAATTTTCATCAAGGTCATAACTAACTTTATTATTCTTAGCATAATTATAAGTTCTATTTGTGGTCTTGCTCATGTTGTTTTCTTCCAGTATAGCGTTGGAAGGTCCTTCCATCTGGTCAAGTGCATTGAGAATAAGATGAATGTTTTAATTACTAGCATTGGAAATTATTTTCTGCTTCTTCTCTTTCCTTTGAATACTATAATTATCATCACTATCTCCTAAATATTCTATCATCTTCCTCTTCCCCTTTATTTTATCCACCTTTGGTAATTCTTCTTCTTCTTCTAAACCCTTCTTAGCCTTACTCTTTGTTTTATGCACCACTGGTTGCTCTAAATCATTGATTTCACCTTGATACGCATGTTGATGACCCTCAGGATAAGCTGTTCATAAGTATCAAAATATATCAGTGATAAATCAGCAAAGCAAACTGAAAGAGATAGAGACTCACAAGTATCAGAAGCCCACCATTTAGACTTTTTCTTCTTGCAAGGTGTTAGAACCTGACTTGAGAGAATAGCGCAACAAGGTATAGATGCCTTAATAACTAGATTGCAACATGAGGATTAAGAAGTACAACTGAGCACAGGATAATATGAGACGTGTGGATGTACAGTATAAGCATATCCCTTTAGTGAGGTCATTACATCACTCCCCCTTTATACCTCAACCCCCTCTTGACAGGTCAGGTATCTTTCCACGGGTTGGCATTAAAAAACCCAGTGGGAAAAAGCCTTACCCTCTCACTCTTCCCCTTTTCCTATAATACTTGTTTTCAGCTTGAGGATATTTTGAATTGAAATCATTGACAACTTCTTGCGCATTCATTAAAGCATTTTCAGGTTCCCACGTGTCATTCTCAGGTCCATAACCTTTCCAGCTAACTAAGTATTCTATTTTTCCTCTTCTTCTTCTTTTGTTTAAAACCTCGTTCACTTCAAATTCTTCTGTGTCTTGGATTATTACTGGAGGCGGTGGTTCTTCAACTTGTCCTTCAATTTTGCTCTTGACGTATTCTCTGAGTAAATTAACGTGGAAAACCGGATGAACGTCGTTCATTTCCTTTGGCAACTGTAATTTGTATGCGTTAGTAGACACTTTTTCAATTATCTTATAAGGTCCAAGCCATTTATGTGAGAACTTAGCGATGGGTCTAGTTGTTGATATATGTTTTCTGCTGAGCCATAGAAGTTGACCTTTCTCCCAGTTTGGAGCTGCTAGAACTTTCTTGTCGAATTGATGTTTCATATTAGTTTGTGCTTCCTGCATTGCTTCTTTGAGTTCGTCGTGTATTTCCTTCAGGTTATTGATTCTGTCCTCAACAATAGGCAAGCATTGGTCAGTACTCGGGGTCCCCGTGAAGCTCACATCGTACCCGTAAAATTGCTTTGAAAGGAGACATGCCAATGGATACGTGTAAATTGTTATTATACGCAAATTCTGCCATAGGTAACAGATCTTGCCAGTCGTCTTGTTTGTAGGACGTGAAGTGTTGGATATATTGTTCAACTGCCTTGTTAGTGATTTCTGATTGACCGTCTGTCTGCGGGTGATACGCAGTCGATGCCTGAGTCTTGATGCCTAACTGGTTATTCATTTCCTTCGTTATTTTCGAAATGAAGATGTTGCCTCTGTCCGAGGTGATGGTTCTTGGTGTCCCGTGAATCTTCCAAACCGAGTTCAGCATTAACTTGGCTAATTCTTCTGAGTTCATTGATTTCTTGCACGCCACGAAATGAGGCATTTTTGTGAAGCGGTCAACCACCGTTAATATGCTATCAAAGTCATTTGAGCTTGGTAAATCGGTGATGAGATCGTAGCATATGTCTAACCACGGTCCTTCGGGAATTGGCAGGGGTTGAAGGCTTCCAAACGGCTTGCTAGTTCTGCTCTTCACTCTTTGACACGAGTGACATCCATCAACATATTGGTTTACATACCGTTGCATCGAAGGCCAGTAAAAGGACCTTTTGATCAGCATGAGAGTACGCATTCTTCCTGGGTGGCCAGCTAAAAGACTATCATGTCTAGATCTCAGTATTTGAAGTCTGATGTTATCATCGTCAGGGACTACCAGTTTGTCGTTGAAATATAAGACATCATCATTTAAAGAGTATCCTCCCAACAGCTTTGAATTAGGCATTTCATTGCATAGCTTGATGATATCTAATACTCTTTCATCTTCAATTGATTTCTGCTTGATCTCTTCAATAATACGCTCATCAGTCCAAAATTCGTTTTGTGAGTTCAGTTCTTCAATTTGTATTGGCGAAGTGTCTTCAGTTATAAACCACGAGTCTACAAGGTCTAGTTCTTCAATAAAGGCGTCGCAAGGTAGGTTTTCTGGCTTAAGAAGTTGACCAAACGTTAATTTATCACCGTCTTCTGGCTTCAGATCAGGCCTTCGAGAAAGAGCGTCTGGTTTTGCCGACTTCTTTCCCGGTCAAAATCTGATTTCGAAGTCAAAGCTGCCAAGTATTTCGGCCCAACGAGCCTGTCTTCTGGTGAGTTCTTTTGTTGTCATCAAAGATTGTAAATTCTTATGATCGGTATATACGATAACATTCAAACGATTTGGATTGCCTTCTAAGTATTGGCGCCATTCCTTGAATGCCGATATCACCGCTAGCAGTTCCTTATCAAAAATTTCATAGTTGCGTTCTGCTTTGATTAACAACCGAGACAAGAAAGCCACTGGATGTAATTCTCCATCTAGACTTGAGACTTGAGATAGGACTGCTCCTAGTGCATAATCGGAGCAGTCACATTTGAGTACAAACGGTCTATAAGGATCAGCAATTGTTAATACCGGAGCCGACGTGAATGCCAATTTTAAATTCTCAAAAGCTTCATTTCTTCCAGTTGTCCATTCAAATTTCACTCCATCTTGAGATAATTCGTGAAGTGGTCTTGCAATCTTTGAGAAGTGACTGATAAATCTCCGGTAAAAGTTCGAAAATCCCAGGAACGTTAAAACTTCAGATAAGTTTTTTGGTGCTGGCCAGTCTCGTACCGCTTTAACCTTGGTGTCATCCATCTTAATTTGATTCCTACTGATGATTAATCCTAAGTAAGCTATCTCTTTTTTTGAAAATTTACACTTCTCCGGTTTGAGCCAAACATTTTGAGCTTTTAATATATCTAAGACTTCCTTAACTACTTTCTGATGATCTACTCCTGGCTTTGTGTAAATTAATATGTCATCCTGATAAGCTGCCACGTCTTTTCCAAGGTGAGTTTTGAGTATATCCTGGATGAAGAACTGAAAGAATCCCGGAGCACCTGTAGGCCCAAAGGGCATAGTCAAAGGTTCAAATTGTCCTGATTTGCATATGAAAGCTAATTTGGCTTCATCTCCTTCTCTTACTCTCAAGTTGTTGTAGCCATTACGCATATCTAAGCTAGTGAATTTGTCTGCGTCGAGTAAACTGTCTACTAATTCCATTGTCAGGGGTAATGGATATTTGTTCTTTACAGTTAAGGCATTGAGTTTTCTATAGTCGAAACAGGGTCTGATATTACCGTCCTTCTTTCCTGCAAATAATACCGGAGCCGCCCAAGGTGAAGTAGTTCTTCTTAGTGTTCCGTTTGCTAACCCTTTTTCAATCATATCACTGAGTACTTCTGTTTCTTTCGGTGACAAGGGTATGATCCTTCCTGCTTGAGGTGTTGCGTTTGGAAGTAGGTCTACTCGGAAGTCATAAGGTCTATGAGGAGGTAAGACATCTGAATTTGATTTTTCAAACATTTCTAGGTATTCATGATAGCATTCAGGCACTAATTCAGCCGCTGTCTTTTCTGTTCTACCTTTAGAGGCTTCTACCGCTAGTCTTGTTGATACATTCCAAGATGTCTCAGCTGCATCTATCATCGCTTTCGTCGGTCGATGGATGTTGGCGTAAGATGTTTGTGACTTTGACCGGGTTCCTGTGAGGTTTAATCTTTGTCCAAGAGAAACATGCTTGCCAGTTTTTCTAAGGACGGAGGAGACATTGGTTGTATCAAACTCACTCTGCAGGGGTTTGCACAAGCTTGTTAGCTTAACCCCCATATCACCATTCCTAGCTTCCCTTTTTGGGCTCCATTCTTGGTCCTGCAAGGGTTGTGACGGTGGTGGCAGAGTGGTTTTCGGCTGAAGTTCCTTCGTGGCTAGTAGTCGGCAAGGTTTTGTCACTGTCGTAGTTTGTGTTTCTGTGTTGTAAGAGATTTCTAAAGGAGAATCTTGATCGCTAACTGATTTTTCAACTTGGTTTAAAAAAGGAATATCAAACTCACATTGCGGGGGTGATAATAAGTCTTTTGAGACTTGCACCCCCTCGTCACTGAACCTAGCAATCCTCTCTGGCCTCCTATCGTGGTCCATCGAGGTGGTTTTCGGCAGGGACGAAGCTGACCTTACAGCTGCAATTTCGTGATTGGTTGATGGCCTGAGGCGTCCAAGTTCCCAATCGATGGTCTTGTGATTTCGTCTGATCCATGGCATTCCGAGAATAACATCGTACTTGTCTCGCAAGTAAGTGATTAAGAATGTCGTCTCATTGTCGTTGTCGTTGACTCGGTAGTCACCAGTGTGCGTGATTATCGACTCATGGCCACTGAATCCAGTGACACTTCTCTTCTGGGGTAGTGGGGTGGTTTCAAAGAAGGAAAGAGATGCAAATTTTCTGCTCATGGCTTCGTGAGTAGCTCCGCTATCCACTAAAGCTCTCGCAGTTTTTGTTGTGGCGGTCTTTGGGTCAAAAAGTGATATCAAATCAATAATACGAGTGTCTTTCATTTCTAATTCATCAATGACATTATCTTCTAACCCTAATAAATTTTGTAAGCTCGAGGTATGCACAACATTCAAACTCAAGCTCCTCCATTTTTTGACACATCTGCTCTTCCTTCTTCTTTACTCTCATTTCTTCCTCCCGTGATTTTAGCATCCAGTTCATCTATACGTGCTTTCAATTGAGCTTCTAATTCACTGATCCTTGAATTTATCCTCCTCTTGAAGTTGAATAACTGCCTCTTGAATTTGAATATCCTCCTCTTCCACTTTGTCTTCTATTCTAGGGACAATCCGCAATAAAGTGATTATCTTTTCCACATCCATAACAAGCTCCATTTGAACCTCTACGTTTGTATTCTTCAGCTGATATGTTTAGACGGTACGCTGAACAGTCCATGGCGTTGGGGTCCGTTGGCGTAGACATTGAGGCGTTTTGATTACCACTTGTAAATACACTCGATCCCTCTGGAGTACGTTTATGAATCTTATTGTCTAATTTAATCGCTACTCTTGCCATTTCCTCCACAGACTCAAAGACATCTCTAATCATATAAACTGAAATTTCGGATTTTAAGCCTTGTTTGAATTGCGATCTCAAAACTTCCTCGGGCCATTTAACAACCAACGATAACTCCGAAAATTTGATCCAATAGTCCGAAACTGTCTTGGTTTGTTTCAGAGCTCGAATTTCCTTTTCCGCCTTCGAAACTCTTTTGCTATCAAAGAATGTGCCTTTAAAAGATTCTACAAAGCGTTGCCACGTGACCATATGAGCATTGTCTCCATTTAGGAGTTGATCCGTAAACGACTGCCCCCAGATGTTCGCCTTTCCCGTTGTGTAGGACAGGGCGAACGCTACTTTTGCCTGATCATTTGCAAATACCGACGAATTAAGCTGCATGTACAACCCTAACTGATTTAAGAAAATCTCCGCTTTAGTTCCCTTAGAGCCATCGAATTTGTCTGGAGTAGCGACTTTATGCGTTCGTGGTAGAGCGGTTTGGCCTGATTGCATCTGTTGAACAGGGGCTTGCATCGTAGGGTTAGGAATACTTTGGAACGACGTAGGGTTGAATTGATCTTCAGCTGCACGTTGTTGTTGGGATTTGTGTTTCTCTTGTTTAAGCTGCTGTAGTTCTTTTTCAACTTTTTGTCTCAAGGATGTTTCTTCATTCAATCTCATGTTCATTTCAGCCAGTTGTTTCATAACATCTTCTAAGCTGATAGACGACATAGTTCCAGCTAGTTGAGTTCCTTCAGTAGACTGTTCGTCTTCTTCCGAAGGATCTTCGTGGGGGATCTTGAATTCAGGCGTGGTGAGAGGGTTTTGATAATTAGAGTTTTGCGGGGTACTGGTTCGATCTTCTTCTTATACTTGATTTGTAATCCTATTGTTGATTTAAACTTTAACTTTTTTGATCTGTACTGATATCTACTTTAAATGCTTCGGTTAAACTTGAGATCTGAACTTTGTTTCTTCTTGATTTGAATTTAAAATTTTGATAACTTCTTCGATTTTCTTTATTTCTTCTTTCCTTCGTTTGATCTTGAATGCGTCTATTCTACTGAGTTTAAGATGTTGCAATATGTTAGAACCTGACTTGAGAGAATAGCGCAACAAGGTATAGATGCCTTAATAACTAGATTGCAACATGAGGATTAAGAAGTACAACTGAGCACAGGATAATATGAGACGTGTGGATGTACAGTATAAGCATATCCCTTTAGTGAGGTCATTACACAAGGACCACATGACATGTAAACTGTTTCACGCTTACAGTTTGAAGCAGCCTCTTCAAGATCAGAATTCTTGTTCAAACATTTCTTGCAAGTAAAATGACATGGTGCATCTTATGTTACTCTCATGATTCAATCTAAAATATCAACTGAATAAATTTGAATTTGCTATCTTATAAATTTGTATACCAGTGATCTTTGATTATGATTATATTTATTAAAATTGAATTTGATAAATTTCTTTCTATTTTTAATAGTCTTAAAATGAATTTTGAAATGTGTAGCTTTGAATTTTTGGTTTTGAATTGATATAAAATTAAAATGTCTTCTGGTTTTGAAATGATTTCTACTTATGATTTGAAATTATATTTTCATATTTGATTTAATGAAGAAAATTCATTAGTTTAGATTTTGTTCAAAAGGTTTTCTTAATGAAATGAAAATGATCTCATTTCTGTACTTACTTCTTGACTGATTAAGGAATTGATATGATTTTGATTTGAATTTTTATCTTTTTGATTTCTTTGAAGTTGTAAATTGCAAATTGATTTTGAATGTGTTTTAAAAATTGAAATATATTTTTGGTTTTCAAAATCCAAAAGCTATTTCACAGTTTGAAAATGAAGTTAGTGATTGATTTTATATTGATTTAGTTTTGAAGTTGAATGGTTGAGATTGATTTTGAAGTTGGAAGCCTGAAATTGGTTTTGAAAAATCAAAAGTTGAAATCGGTTTTCAAAATTCAAAGCCAAACTTTCCAGACTATACTCAACTCCACAAATCTCATAAAGCTCAAGCTGTTGAAGTTGTAGAGAAAGTTCAACTTGAGCTTAATTGTTCAGTGAAATTGATTCATGAACAAGAAATTAAATCACAAATTCAAGAATTAACTATCAAACATCACCAAATGCTCATGTCAACTGATACAAGTAGAGGGAATCCTATGACAATTCAAAGACGTGAAAACTGATCAAAAGTATAGACAAAAGTTCAAATCACATTTCTACTGATGAAATACTTGGTCAATGCTTTTCATGTTCCATTTCTCCCTCATAATTGTCTATCACTTGCTCCATCCTGGAAAACAGGTGCCCAGCTTGTATACTGTAATAGTCATCTATTTGTACTTAAGAATAGTGATACTGTTGCTTTAGATGGAAATATTATTAACAAGCTCCTGATCCTGAAAATTAAAATTCAAGACTACCAGATCAAATAATGTGTTTTTCACTTCTGATATAAGGGACAAGCACTTAGCTCATCCATGTGAGAAACACCTTGAGAAAGCAGCCCAATGTCCTTTTGGCATCAATTCCAAAATCAGGTCTTGACCTCTCTGTGAATCATGTGCACTAGGAAGAAGTATATGTCCAGCAGCTTTTCTTAAACCGCTTCAGGCTCTTGATGTAGTATACGCATTTGTTGGCGGTTCACCTCATAAAGTGATCCTAATCTTCTTATCCACTATGAAACCCGAATCTTCATCAGAACAAGCATCTCCCTCAAAACACAATCCATAGCAACTGGGGTCCATAAAAAGGTATGGATTTCAAGGGAGTCAACTGTATGCAGATCAATCCACCAAAAACATCCAGCTCACAATTCATGCACAAGTGCCACAATTGATGGTAAACATTTGAATCAGTGCTTTCAATGCACCCAAAATCACCCAAACTTACCCAAACTCACAATGACATGCTTCTCCACTGCTCTGTGCTTCAGAATATGGTTCCGACGCTCATACTTTATACCCGCCAATTAAACCTCCAACATGAGCAACACATGTGATCATTATATTTTGTGCACGCCAAACAATTTCACCAGGCATGTGCCCTAGATCCTTGACCTCTCAGACCCAAATCTAGAAAGGACTTCATTATATCATCCTTTTTATCGTTGATCAATTACCAATTTTCAAATACATTCACAATCTACTTGGTTCACTTCTTCAAGTGTTCTTTTAACCTCTCAGACCCAAATCTAGAAAGGACTTTGTTATATCATCCTTTTTATTGCTGATTGATTACCAATTTTCAATTAGATTCAAAATCTACTTGGTTCACTTCTTCAACTACCACAACTCAATCTCATCATTCATCTTCAACAAGCCATCTTTAATTCTCCGAGTACTTTGATGAATAATTCAAATCAGCTATTACTGAACCTCAGTCTAGCCATATCCAAACAAAAAAAAAATCAGTTTTCTTCATTGGCATACCATATGACACTGAGGAAGTCAATTTTCAGGCAGTTATAAGTAGACTTGGTTGTAAGATAGAAATTCTAACATTTCCACCTCAAAGTCCAGATAATCAAAGCCGGGTTGGGTGTCCCAAGTTTAAGAATCAGCAATCGGCAAATGAGTTTGTTCATCTTCATGCTCCTAAGCAACTTTGTACCTTGCAACCACCAACTTCAGAATACTCAATCAAGATTCAACATAGTACAACCAATGGAAAATCTCCTATCACAATGTCAACCAATGATGGGAAGGACCATATTGGTGATACTCTATCTAAGAAGATATTATCGAGAGGCATAGATATGCATGCTACTGGAAAAGACATTGCAACTCATCTATCACAACCAGCTACTGGCTTTTTCTCCAACGGAGTAGGAGCATAATACTAATCAAGGATCAAACTTCACAAGCTTCAATGTGGTTTGCCTTTGTGGAATACAATAGTGTGATGGTCTGTATCATTTTTTGCCATATCCGATGATAAGCCAGGATATTGACCTTTCATTTTATCCCCTGTAGGCCCCCAGGGTTGGTCTAGGGATCCTTAAGCTGTGTCATATATTGGCGTATCAGGCTGGATCTGGTAGATTATCATTCCCACGTTGCCACATCAATGTATTGAATTCCCTTTCAGTGGTGCATCCTAAATGCTGGGATCTAAATACTTATCTAGAAATTTGGACGCCAGCTGGTAATACAACTTCTTCTGCATCACCTACCCATCTGGGCGGAGATTGGATCATGTGGGATTTGGACAAGACATCAAATTCCATGACCCTTTCTCTCAGCCACCATGCTGATGCTGATATGATCATTTTTTTCCTTTCCATATTTATTTATAATAATTTTGATTTTCTACAACTTGGCTAGATATGCATGAGGTCATCCCTCAACCAGCTACTGCGCATGACCCTGCCGAACTTGCCCTTGGCCACCATGCTGACCTAGGTGAGTTTTTCCTTTGTTTTTGTCCTCTCCATATCTATGTATAATAATTTTGATTCTATCCCCTCAATCAGCTACTGCACAGGATTCAAATAGAGCTTTCCCCCGGCAATCAAGCTGCCCCAGGTGAGTTTTTCCTTTCTTTTTTTTCTTGTTATGTCTATATACAATAATTTTGATTTACTACAACTTGGGTAGATATGAGTCTTGTCATGGATCCAAAAAATGTTACTCCTGAGCTGGTTCAAACACCTGATCCATGTGAAGATCTCAGAGGAATTGTTTTGTGCAAGGATGCTGTTAATTCAGGAGCAAACCCGTGTCGTATCAAAGCTCTTTATTATATATGTAATGTCCAGGCAGACACGGATGAAGCCATGTACAAACATACCACATGTCCTTGCAATCAGGTGTAGTTTCAGCTCCTTGCAAATCCACCAGTTAATCACTGGCTCTGACTCACTCCTGTCTCCTACTGAACCATCCTTATCTCATATGCTTGATTATCTGGTATGTTTGATTTATCCACGAATGCAATAGGTCAACCTCAGAGATTCAGACAAGCTAGTTGAGGCTATCAAGAACCAAGAATCAACCCTTTTGCAGAACTCCAATACCAATAAACACAAGGCTACTTCAAGATTTGACTATTTCAGTTCAACCTCACAAAGAGGATGTTCAATATACCAGTGGCCAAAGTAAGATTATACTTAATCACATCTACCTTTGCCTCCTTCAGAAAATTAATCACTAATATCAACATTTTATTCAACTTTGTCAGATACTGGTATGAGCGGAGCCACCAAGGTAATTGGCTTCCATTCACACAAGAAGCAATGTTTATCACCTTCAGAGAACGCAGCCCTGGAGAGGCCCCTTATGAAATATAATGAGCAACATCTCTCTGCACCATGTAAGTTTTTGTGTAGCATGTCTACGTGCACACACAAAGACTTTCAAAAGATATTGAAAAGAGTTGTTGTACAGGGGCACACCGCATGGCCCTGCACCGTCACACGAGAACACCAAGTCCACAATGATTCAAGTGAGTGTATTAGACCACTCAGCTTGTCTTCACTTCATCCATCTACTTCAACACCTTCCTTCCTCCATCCATCCACCTCAACATCACCCTCCATCAATTCATCTTCTTCCTCCATCAGCTGGAGCTGGAGTAGTAGTTGAGTCAGGAACTATCACAACAGGAGCGGTGGTGATTTCGTAGGGAGATTGAGCATGAGGAGGGGTTAATAAGTTGTCCTCCTCTGAATCGGCAATTCAATTCTTCTTCAGAGTTGAAGGGATCCGTTTGAACAAAGAGTGTTTAGGCAAAGATACTGGAGGATTGGGAGGACGGTCAAACGTTTTGTGACGCTTTTTGAAGTACCGATTCGCCACCATCTTTTTCAATTTGGACTCGCGTTGCTTGTGAGGAGCGGTCGGAGTGTTTTCCATGATATCTAAAAGAGCATATTAATCAAATCACACCAACGTAAGAAAACAAAACAGAAAGCAGTCAGTATCTAAGCTGTTAACAGGGTTTTGTAAAACTTGAATAAGATTGGGATAGGAAGATAGGGGAAGTGAAGGAAATTGAAAGATTAGAACAATTACAATTTTTGATAACAAAGTAATAGGGAAAGTCCTTGATTCGATTGGTGTTGTTCGGAGAGAAGCTACATTGAAAACTTTCAAGTTTTAAGAGGGACTCGTGTTCCATTGAGGAATGGTCCATTGAGATGAGGTATAACATCCTCATTGGGGATACTGGTTGACTGAATTGAGTGAAAAGGTTGAGATTTTTCCGGAGAGGCTGTTTATGAAGTGTCTTGAAGGGTAGTCTCAATATCTTGATTTTGATCTACATGTGTAGTTTGACATATATGTTAAGTTGAGTTTGGCAAAATGGATGCAATGGGGGCATTGCTGGGTTTTGGGGGAGGCTGTGGTAATCAAAACTGCAGTTTGAATGTAGTTTTGATTTGTATTGTTATTATTATAATTAATTTTTATTTTTTTTATTATGATTTAATTAAGTTTTTTACTTTTTTATCAATATAAATTTAAATCTATACGTTTTATCTTATTTTATTGATTTAGATTCTTTTTTATGATTTCTATTTTAAATTTTAATTTTTTAACTTTTAATTATGAATTTTAGTTTTATTTTTATCATTTTTTTATTTTATAGGTTTAGGAGGTATGGGTTATTTAAGGGTGTATGGAATATGTAGAGTACATAGTTGTTAAGTGGAAATTTCGAAAATTATGGGTTTTACATGGTTTTATTAAGGTATACAGGATTTTATGGGTTTTTCATTATGGGTTTGAACAAGGCTGAATTTCAAAAATTGAGGACTTGGAGAAAAAGTAGGGTGGTGGTAAACTGAGATAAGCTTTAGGGTTTAAAGTTAAAAGGGCACCTTAGTAGATGATACAACAACATAGTTTGGCACTGCAACATTGAAAATTACAATTAAATTTGACACAGGAACACTTCAGACATTACGAAACTCGAAAATGACTTTTGAAAACTGAGAAACGCATAGTTTTGGCTGGAAACTTTGAATTCAAGGGCACCACAGCACCATTTCAGGGTAGATGTTAGTTGGGGTGGATTCTATTTTTGCATATTTTCCAATAACTTTAATTTTAAGCATCATCCTTATCAATTTAAGTGGTAATATGGGGTGGTAAGCTGACAAAACCCCCATTTCAAATTTTTCCTTCAATTTTCAATCTCAATTTACACTACCAACCATTAGAGTTAGAGTTTAGCTTGGCTGAGCAAAGTTGTAGAGCAAAAAATTTGATTTCTTTCTGTGTCTTCAGACTTTTTATATGGTCCCGTTTTCTTATCTTATTTCAGCTTTGGAGGGAAAATGGCAGAAATTTGGGTTTTTGTGGTACACAGCTAAGTTATAGTGCTGCTTGTGAGCCTGAAAGTTTGTAGATTGTCAATTTGTGTGTGATGAATCTTTCTATCAACTTTATTTTGGGGGTTCATTGAGAGTTATTGTGTGAAAAAGTTGTATGAAGATGAATTTTGAGTTTGAGGTATGTTTTTTGTCCTACTTTCTTTTTGGGTGTGTTTCAATTTTGATATAGTCAAGTGTCTCTTTTCCTCGCTGTGGGAGCCTTTTAGTTAGCAAAAACAATTACTAGAATTTTAGAATAAGCTTGTATCTTTTATTATTATTATTCAGGTAAACAACTAGTGAAAGTTGGAATTTTATAATAATAAGACCCTTATTCATCTTTTAATTAATTTCTGGTTGAGTTGGAAACTCATTTGCTCATTTTGAAGGTGCCTGAGTGCGCCTAGATAGTGCTACTTTTGCTTTTATTGTCCTCTTTTAGCCTTGTTCTTATTAATCCAAAGACTTGTAGGTCTTAAATTTAATTCATCAGTAATCAAAGTCCCTGTTTTAAGAAGGGCATTTCTTTCTTGTTTGAAGTCTTTCAATTCACCGTCTCAAGACTTATTCCTCTTTTGATTGTGTGTGTTGTTGTTTGTGTCTTCATTCCTCCCCTTCTGGGCTCTGCTTTCAGCGGTGTACTGAAAGAGTTCTACACTGGGCCAAAAAGCGTACGGAGCGTTGTGGTGATCAATTTATGGGATCAATTAAAAAATTCACAATTACCAGTTTACCAGTTTATTAGCAGGTTTCAGCAGGAAAGAAAATTCGAAAATGGAGGTTTTTGATCAATTGAAGCTCTTGTAGGCTTATGTATTGGTCATTAGGTCAACATTACATCATTTTTATTTCACATTATACATAAGATCATTATAGTTTACTTACAAATTTATTACAAAAAGAAAGAAAGAAAAACATAAGAAAAATTCGAAAATATAGGTACATAGGTTGGAAAATGGTTTTTAGGTTAGTAAAAATAAAGTTATGGGTATTATGAGGTTAGAATATGAAAGAACAACATTATATTATACTATGACAATTTTAATCTTCAAGGTTGATAAGTAGAAACAAAAGTTATTAGGGAAAAGGTACTTTTTTGAAGTTGGTAAACAAGAGGTACACGTGTAGTTTGGATGTGTAATAGTGGTAGTGATGGAATTTAAGGTTGCCAAGAGGATTTTCCGGGATTTTTAAGGTTATAGATGATGATGTCATATTACATGAGCAAGAAAAAGAGAGTAGTAGCTGTGAAAAGTGAAGAAAATGGGTGAAATTCGTGGAAAATGGAGGTTTTCAGCTAATTACATATGTCAAATGACGTCAGAATAGGTTGGTAGATGGCTCATTCAACGCAGAAGAGTGGATTACATAATGTACGAACTTTAAATCATTAGTAACGGAGGTGTGTGTAAAAAGTTATAAGGCAAATAAAGAATTGGTGTGAATCTCGAATTTACAGTCACAAGTCACATGTAACACCAAAAAACCTTAACTTCACAACTCAATATCTTACTCATCACTCATCAGAAGTAGGTCATGTAGGTGTCAGAAATGATCAGTAACATGTGGGCTACAAGATGCACTTTAGTAATCAAAAATTGGAGCCCATCTGAAAAAATTCGTAATCTCAAAAATTGGTTTTCAGCTGGTTTACAAGGAAAAAATCACCTGTATTCATAATAAGAAGTGCTGTACATCATATTATTGCGCCATTGATCACTTTTAGCTGTGAAAATTACATCATTTATTAGTAACAAAATCATTACATTGCGTCATCATAGGGTTTTTAGGGAATTTTGGGCGGATTTGATTGGTTTTGAGGCTGTTGACCATTGTAAAAGTTCTAGTACATTGTTATATATACTTTGAGAGGGTTTTGGGATTGTTGTTCCCCTTTTTTCTTTATCATTTACGCCATTATTATTTTGTTTATCATCATAAACTTATTTTAATAGTACCTGGTCACTCAAATACGCCCTTTATTACAGCTATAAAGAGAAATTTACTTTAGTATTATAGTCATAAAGACTTATTGGGAATAATATCAATCAGATATTGCTTATTTTCTTTAGTTATCAATTGGGAATAACACTATAGCAGTGTTGATAGTAATACAAAGTGTGCTTTTGAAGTTAAAATACGTGTGAAGATACATTTCTCTGGTGCCTTATCAGTACTCAATACAACAGAGCTCTTTCTGATTGTGTTGTTTTAGAAGAGCAGTCCTTAGACAACTTCTACTAGTCATTATATTAGTAGATTATCCTCTTCCAGCTCTGTATAACCCTTGTTGGGTTATAAGTTCTACAGCGTACTGTCACGGAGGGCTACGGGACTCTGTCCCGTAGCTAGAAGCTCAAATTCTGAGGTCCAGCACTGGTTAATATGGTACTGTGGAAAAATTAAGTCATTGCATTGTGATATATGGCACTGGACCTCATATGGGCACTCCTCAGTGTGAGGATAGGCCTGACCCGCTAGAATTCAAAAGTGATGCTCTAGGAATATGTGATACATGAAGCAGTTAACATATCTGCAATGTGGAAGGTGGGGTTTTGTTCACCTAAGCACATTTGGGATGGCCGCCAAAAACAAAAAAAGGCGGCCTCACAAATGTCACGCTTGATCATTAGGACCAGACTGGGAGGCGCCAAAAATGAAAAATGGCGGCCTCATTGAAACTGTCTTTTTTACATCATGAGGTTGATTACCGGATGGGCCGCCTTGCCTGGTTTCTGTGCGCTGCTTGAGGCCGCCAAAATGCAATTTTGGCGGCCTTTGCCC